AAGTAGATTAATCCATGTCAAACCCACAGAAATACACATACAAAAGCACTTACAAAAATACACTTATGTAATTGTTCAAGTTTGTATCCCGAGGTACCACTGTATTTTATTTTTTCAAGTAACTTTTGTGGCCTGTGAGACCGATATAATGTGTAATGTATATACAGTGTAACCTTCATTTTCATAGGATTCGGTTTTCGACGACTGTCGAAATTTTGTCCCAGTTTTTGTACATCACCTCAGTTGTCATAGAGTTGACAATGGTCTGTACCAAACGCATCCGCCTGCCAGCCTGCATCACTCGGCCACTCAAGTGCTGAGTGATTCAGTCTGCCTTTGTTTATCATTGAGTGAGCATCACCCCACGCGTTCAGCCGAAACATTTTGTAATAATCCATTGTTTTTGTGCTTGTTTATTGAGTGCGAATGTTAAATAAGCCACCATGGGCCAAAGAAAGTTCCGAATGCAGGCCCTTTGATAAAGAAGGCGAGAAACATGATAGAAACAGACCTCTCTGGACAGATTTTTTGTGCAACAGGGGTACAGTGAGCCTCAAGCTGGTCCTAGTGCCAGTAAAAGACAAAGAAGGGAAGTAACCCCGGATAAGGCCTTGATACTCGAAGTCCTTATGGAAGGGATTCCCCTTCCAAACAATAACCTCTCCTCACTGTCCTCCATATGCCAACAAGTGTCTTCAATAAAGGTAAAAGTGATGTTAAATGTTCATTTATCCATTTCATTAGTCATATTTATTTCTCACTGTTTTCTGTATGTAACACTATAGTTGTTCTATATAAAATGTATTTTTTGTTAATATTTTTGGGTGTCTGGAATGGCTTAATTGGATTTACATCAATTCTTATCGGAAATATTGTTTTAGTTTTCATACAATTCAGGTTTCGTCAGACTTTCTGGAACAAAGTAATCACGAAACTGAGGTTCCACTGTATGTCCACTCATTGTATGCAACACAGTAACTGCACAAATATTATCATCATTACAACGTTTACAAAACCTGTTGACACAAACCGACAATAAAAAAGTAGTTTGTTACTATTGTTCTATAATATATATAATATATATACACATATATTCACTGGACACATTCCTAGAACTGATACAACTTGTGGAAGGTTGTTGTTGTATGTGAGTGGCCTTTGTTGTGGATGTACTGAGAGCAGCATGGCTGGTGTCACAGTGATGCATTGCACAACCACCACCACCAATTACCCACACTGTGTTCCCCAACAAGCATGGTGTCTTCCCCACCACCCACATAGAAATAAGTCACTTTGACTTTTTTGGGTTATCCTAGGTTGATGGTTGTCTGGGTTTTTAGCACTGTTTCTGGTATCCTGGGCATTGCTTTTGGTCACAAACTCCTCAAAACCATGAAATTCATCTTCACTGACACTTTCATCTGTATTAGAACTATCACTTGGGACGAGGAGAGTCCCAGATTCACCGGGGAGTCAGATATGTATGTCTTACCACTAGGCGTGCTGAAAAAAGACTACTGAAATGGCGTTCCCACAATGCAGTATGGGTGCCATGATTTTTTTTTTATACTGCACACACTGACCATGCAAACCCATTCTCTCACATGTAGGCCTACCAGCTTTCTCTGCTAGATTTGAAGCTTCTAGAATTTTGGCGTATTAATACAGCACCAACACTAGCTCGTAAGCCATACCTATACGGCACTGACAGTGAAAGGGTTAAAGCACTCCAGAGCGATTATTATTACTACTACTACCGACATGCCTTGTTCACCGAGTTTAATCACTTCTTAAGCTGCCATGAGAGACATTGAGACTGCAAACACACAGACAAACACACCAGCTAACCCCTTTACTGTGAACTTCTTTTGTACTTCTTCCAATTTCCTCTTGTTTTTCCTCTTTCAAGTGCTGCTGCACTTCTAACTCTACAGTACTAGTCACTGCATTATACCGGGTGAGCGCCCTGGCATGATGCTGTGACAAAAATCAAAGGCCTACCATACAAGGGGGGTCTTTTTTTGTCAGTGCATTATGCCGGATAGCATCCGTTAGCATGACATCACGGCCTGTTGCCACACTCCACAGTGACTCCAGTGCTCACATGGCTGCTGTGGTGAGAGGAAGTGTTGCACTTTTGTCTCTCATTTGACCCATCTTTTGTCCAGTGTTCCCTTTGGTTTTGGGGCTATACATGTTTGATTATGGGTAAAAGGAAGTCTTTAACACCTGCAACTATAGATCAAATCATAGGACTTCACAAAGCTGGGCAACAGACGAAAGAAATTGTGGAAAATGTTGGTATGTGTGAGCATTCAGTGAGGAACTGGGTGCAGCATTTCAAGGCTGGTGGCGGTGTTGAGTTTCTGTCTTCCGAACCTCGACCTGGCCCCTCAAAGAAGACATCTGTTCATACCTTAACTGTGTTAAAGAAGCAGTTAGGTGTCTGTAGGAACTGTTAACAGACGTGTGTCAGAACTGGGCTACAGTAGTCACTGCCAAGTTAAGAAACTGATCCTCTCCAAGCCACAGAAGAAACGTAGGCTGAATTATGCAAAGAAATATCTTCACTGGAATCCTCAACAGTGGTCTGAAGTACTTTGGAGTGATGAAGCAACCGTCACCATCACCTGTAACCGTGGGGGACATGTACCGGTCCAGAGGTAGTGACCCGCTAGACCCACGCTACACCTGTGGGACCACCAAATACCCAAACTTGCTCATGGTTTGGGGTGTTTCAGTGCTCAGAGTGTTGCTGAACTCATTGTGTGCTTCTCAAAAACCAGTGTGTGAACCAGTATAAACATGGAGTTATTGTGTGACAGTTTACCCGAGGCATTTGCAAGTGTGGGGCTGCAGTTTTTATGCAGGATGGTGCACCATGTCATACTGCCAAATCTGTAGTTCAATGGCTTAAGGACTGTGAACCGAGACTCTTTAATGACTGGCCAAGCAATTCCTCAGACCTAAACCCTATTGAGAATCTCTGGTCAATTGTGAAATGAAGTGTACTGGGCAAGGATATCGGTTCCATCCCGTGGCTTGAGGCCGCTCTACACGAGGCATGGAATAATATACCTCCCCAAACCCTCAAGAGTTTGTGTGAGAGTCTTCTTACACAGCTGAGGGATGTGATTAAGTGTAAAGGATGCAGCACCATGTATTAAAACCTCAGTAAGTGTGCAAATTATATAATCTTGCATGGTATGTGTTTGTGTTTTGGTACGAGTGGGGAAGGGCAGCATAATGCCGTGACTAGTACTTTATCTTATACTATGGGGTGCACAATAAAGTACAAATTTATAGATGAAATATGTAGTCTTGGAGATTGCTTGATTGCTTTTACAATGAACTCCTTTTGTACTTCTTCCATTTTCCTCTTCCAAGTGCTGCTGCACTTCTAATGCTATCTTGCACTATGTTGTGCACAATAAAGTACAAATTTGTACAAATATGTAGTCTTGGAGACTAAAAGCTAGTGTACTGAGTGGCTGTAGGAAGGAGGTCGAGATGCTTTACGCTGAGACGCTGCACTGCCCGTTTCCATGACCCAAGTTCTCGTACAGCATTCGATACCGACTCGTCAGAGAGCCTGTTGTAACTCCAAGTTGTCGGTAAACGAGTACGTCGATAAGTGAGGAGAGGCTGTACTTCCATTGATACCCATTTACTTTAGCTACCTTTAATTATACTTGGGTTTATGCACATTTTTTAATCTCCACATTTTTCATCATTCATATCTTATGCTTATTTCTGTCTTTTCAGCTCTCATATTTTCTGCTTTCTTGATCGTATGTGCTTGCAGAGGTAATACTCATTATTTTTCCACATTTTTGTTTCTGAGTTCAAGTCATTGGAAGATAGGTAAGCTAGCACAATGAATTGCCTGGTAAATTGAATAAAGTATAAATGTTATAATGTATGGAAGTTTTTCTGACATTGTTTGTTTGCCATGGGCATATTTTATTTCGATTATGCATAAATATATTTTTCTAACTTTTACTTTGTTTTTTGTCTAATCTTTTGCTTAACTTGTCTGTGTGACTGGGACATGTATTCAGCAATTGAATTTAAAGATTAAAGAACTCTAGCAATTTCTTCACATACACATATGTTGATGCATGAAAAATGAAGTACGTAATTTTCAAGGCGTAGGAGGGCCAAACGCATATACAGCACTCTCTTTTCAGTGTTCCATGTTTTTGTTGACTTTCAGTTTTTTTATTTTTTTATTTTATTTTATAATTTGAACATACATACAAGGGTACATTGTTCATTATGTTCAATACTTTTACTGCTGTTTTGCCATTTTCATACATTTGTGTTAGGAAAGGGCAACTGGCACCATATTTTAAGGTAAGTATTGTATGTACTGTGTAATTTTTTTTTTTATGTCTGGCTGTATTGAGCACTTAATATATCATAGTGTAAACATGTTATCAGGTGTTGTAGAAGCATTTAATTCTGCCAATTCATAAAATATTACTACCTGAACCATTACTTGTAATATACATTTTGTGTGCAATTTCAAGATTGTTACAGAACCTTACTCCGCCTAACTACCTCACATTTGTATTAAGTCGAAATAAGTTTGTAAAACAGTTAACCACTACTACTTATCTAGTTTTAAGTATAGTTACTATGTACTTATTATCATGTCTAGTTTTAATTAGTTACTATGTATTAGGATTAGTCTGCCCAAAATGCCCCAGCATGATAGTGGCTGTTTTTGTACTTGGCAAATCAAAATTGTAATTACACACTGTAACCTTTACAAAGAAATAAACTTTATCTTATCTATCTTATCATTTGATAATGAAAAAAAACATTTTTCTACCTACCAGAGATTTTCGCTTACCATATAGAAACCTAAAAAACATACAGATGGGCCTCTCCTGTATTTCTCAATTTTATGACTGTTATATTTGTATTTAAGTTTCTAAATTTAAAATTTCATTTTTATGAGCATTTAAATGCAACAAGTATTTCTACTTTAACAGCTGGTGGTGGACAGGTATACCAAGTGACTCTGTTGAAGGATCGTGTATATGAAGATTTTGGCTTTAGTGTTTCTGATGGCCTCTATGAGAAAGGGGTTTATGTCAACAGAATACGAAAAGGTGGACCAGCTGATAGGTCTGGCATACTGAAACCATTTGACAGAATTCTTCAGGTATGTTTGTTTATTCTTTTCTTTTCTCCTCTTTTTTTTTTTTTTTATTCATTCATGTCTTTATATTTTTCATATAGACAGTACAGTGGACCCTCGACCAATGATGGCATCGTCTAACGTTAAATCCGACTAGTGATACATTTTAACGCAAAAATTTTGTCTCGACTAGCGCTAAAAAACTCGACCAACACGATTCGTTCCGACTGAGACGCGTCCACTTGTGGCCAGTGTTTTCAAGCCAGCCAGCCACCGCGGTCCCATCCAAACATACAATCGGAACATTTCATATTATCACAGCGTTTTTAGTGATTGCACCTGCAAAATAAGTCACCATGGGCCCAAAGAAAGCTTCTAGTGCCAACCCTACAGCAAAAAGGGTGATAATTACTATGGATATGAAGAAAGAGATCATTGCTAAGTATGAAAGTGGAGTGCGTGTCTCCGAGCTGGCCAGGTTGTACACAAAACCCCAATCAACCATCGCTACTATTGTGGCCAAGAAAACGGCAATCAAAGAAGCTGTTCTTGCCAAAGGTGCAACTATGTTTTCGAAACTGAGGTCGCAAGTGATAGAAGATGTTGAGAGACTGTTTTTGGTGTGGATAAACGAAAAACAGATAGCAGGAGATAGCCTCTCTCAAGCGATCATATGTGAAAAGGCTAGGAAGTTGCATTAGGATTTAATTAGAAAAATGCCAGCAACTAGTGGTGATGTGAGTGAATTTAAGGCCAGCAAAGGTTGGTTTGAGAGATTTAAGAATCGTAGTGGCATACATAGTGTGATAAGGCATGGTGAGGCTGCCAGTTTGAACCAAAAAGCAGCTGAAAAATATGTGCAGGAATTCAAGGAGTACATAGACAGTGAAGAATTGAAACCTGAACAAGTGTTTAATTGTGACACTGACAATGTTGTGAAACACTTTAGGAATGTCATAAAGGAACGGGAGATACAGGCCTCTATGGACAGATATGTTGTGCGACAGAGGTCCAGTGACTCTCAAGCTGGCCCTAGTGGCATTAAAAGAAGGGAAGTAACCCCGGAAAAGGACACCTCAAGTCCTAATGGAAGGGGATTCCCCTTCTAAACACTAACACCATCCACAGTCTCCCCTCCTCCCATCCCATCAATCATCACCATATCTTCAATAAAGGTAAGTGTCATGTAATTGTACATGTCTTCTTCAGTTTGTGTGTATTAAAATTAATATTTCATGTGGTAAAATTTTTTTTTTTCAATACTTTTGGGTGTCTTGCACGGATTAATTTGATTTCCATTATTTCTTATGGGAAAATTAACTCGACTAATGATAATTTCGATTAACGATGAGCTCTCAGGAACGGATTAATATCGTTGGTCGAGGGTCCACTGTACTTGTATTTTTCTGTCTTTACTTGCTCTTTTTTGCAACCATCACCAATATTCCTAGTGCTGCTCCTTCAGTTATACACCAGCTGTCTATGAGGTAGTAAGTCATGTGGGTTATTTTTACGAGAATAAGGAATGAATGTGAATTACCTTAACAAGATGGCCCCAGTGAAATATTCAAGGATTTCTTTTTAGACCTGAATACAAAGGATCAAAGAAAGTTCCTGTTTTGTCATACAGTAGGGCCCTGCTTTACGGTGTTTCGCTAATACGGTCATTTCAAATTATGACCAAAACTCGCTATATGACTCCCCCCACCTGACTTTCTAATACGGTCACCACGCCCCACCCGGTTTGTTTACATTCTCTGAGATCCGTAAGCACTAAGTCTCTCCATTATATCTGGAAATTCCAAAATTTCAAGTGTTTTTAAGTTATTTCATATTTTATATATACTCTGATAATTATACTTATGTATACCTGTACCTAAATAAACTTACACACTGTGCTGGCGTGCAGGTACACATTAAAATCAGTAAGAATGTCTTATATCTCGAGATATCATATTAGTAATGATAATAATAATCACCGAGTCTCATTTAAATGTCGTATATTATGTTAATATATACATTTTCATTAATCCATCTATGATATTTTTTCAAAATTATATAATAAACATGATGCATAACATATAAAGATGATCAATACACTTCACAGTAGAATAAATAAACATAAATATGAGATGTGGTAGCCAGACGACTTGCACAAATGATGCCATATTAGAAATAATAATAATAACAACAATCACTGAGTCTCATTAAATGTCATATATTACATTAATATACACATTTTCATTAATCCATCTATGATATTTTTTTCAAAATTATATAATACACATGATACATAACATATAAAGATGATAAATATACCTCACAATAGAATATATAAACATAAATATGAGATGTGGTAGCCAGATAACTTGTACAAGTGATGGCAAGAATAACATTTTCTCTAGTCTGATATAAGAGAAAATGTGTTACTGGGGGTAACTGTAGAAAATTATTCCTCTCATATGTATGTAAGTTTATTCAGGTATACACAAATACAGTTACATAGATTATCATACATAACAGCATATGTGTAGAGAACCTAGGATAACCCAAAAAAGTCAGAGTGACTTATTTCCATTGCCTTCACTCAAAGCGTCATTTCTTCTAAAAATGGTGTTACACGAGAATGGGAGTGTTCTTCTTTATTTATTCTACCGTATCAATGTAGAGACAACTTGTACACGATGTAACTTGTACACAAACCAGACGTGTACACTTTGTTTATAAAACTTACGTTCACCTGGTTTGTTTACATAACTCTGCGCCTGTCCTCTCTCATGTATTCATTCTCATTCTCTCTCTCTCTTTCATTTATTCGTTTTATCTCGTTTACTCACCCCTGACCCTACATTAAGACTACAAATATTTTAAGGTAAGTAATGAGTGAACTGTATACAGTAGGGCCCCGCTTTACGGCGTTTCACCTTACGGCATTCTGCTAATACGGCAATGTCAAGTTATGACCAAAATTTGCTATACGGCAAGCGGTCTTTCAAATACGGCGTGCCCCACCCGGTTTGTTTACATTCTCCATGACCACATCTGTTATGTCAGAAAACTTTCCAAAATTTCAAGTGTTTTAAAGTTACTGCGTATTTTATATGTACTCTGATAATTATACTTATGTGTACCTGTACCTAAATATACTTACACACTGTGCTGGTGTGCAGGTACACATTAAAATCTCTAAGTCTCTCTCTACTTATGACGCCAATACTACGTAATAATAATCACTCTTGGGCACACTAAATGTCTTATTTTACATTAATATAGGCATTTTCATTAATCCATCTATGATATTTTCCTCAAAATTACAGCAGGGCCCCGCTTTATGGCGTTTCACTTTACGGCGTTCTGCTAATACGGTCATTTCAAATTATGACCAAAACTCGCTATACGGCTCCCCCCACCTGACTTTCTAATATGGTCACCGCGCCCCACCTTGTTTGTTTACATTCTTCGTGAGCTCGGTAAGCACTAAGTCTCTCCATTTTGTCTGGAAACTCCAAAATTTCAAATGTTTTTAAAAGTTATTTCATATTTTATACTGTATAGTCCTTGTGGCTTAGCGTTTCTTTTTTTATTATAATAATAATCATATTTTATATATACTCTGATAATTAAACTTGCATACTGTGCTGGCGTGCAGGTACACATTAAAATCAGTACGAGTGTCTTATGTCTCCAGACGTCATATTAGTAATGATTATAATAATCATCGAGTCTCATTTAAATGTCGTATATTACGTTAAATACACATTTTCATTAATCCATCTATGATATTTTTTCAAAATTATATAATAAACACGATACATAACATTAAGACTACAAATATTTTAATGTAAGTAATGAGTGAACTGTATATACATTTTATCGCTCTGGGATGCTTAAATGTAATAGAATATTATGTGTAGGTGGGTTGGCCTGGTATGGTAGCCCGGCTGACTACCATACATACCACACTTGATTTCTTACAATAAATACTACTCATCTCACCCTATACAGTGGACCCCCGCATACCGTCGGCATCACATAACGTTCAATCCGCATACCGCTCGCTTTTATCTCAAAAATTTTGCCTCGCATACCGCTCAAAAACCCGCTCACCGCTCTTCGTCCGAGACGCGTCCAATGTGCGCACTTAGCCAGCCTCACATGTGCCGCCGGTGGCATTGTTTACCAGCCAGTCTCCGCGGTAACATCCAAGCATACAATCGGAACATTTCGTATTATTACAGTGTTTTTGGTGATTTTATCTGCAAAATAAGTGACCATGGGCCCCAAGAAAGCTTCTAGTGCCAACCCTACAGCAATAAGGGTGAGAATTACTATAGAGATGAAGAAAGAGATCATTGATAAGTATGAAAGTGGAGTGCGTGTCGCCGACCTGGCCAGGTTGTACAAGAAACCCAAATCAACCATCGCTACTATTGTGGGCAGCAGAAAGGCAATCAAGGAAGCTGTTCTTGCCAAAGGTTTAACTGTGTTTTCGAAACAGAGATCGCAAGTGATGGAAGATGTTGAGAGACTCTTATTGGTGTGGATAAATGAAAAAACAGCTAGCAGGAGATAGCGTCTCTCAAGCGATCATAAGCGAAAAGGCTAGGAAGTTGCATGAGGATTTAATTAAAAAAATGCCTGCAACTAGTGATGATGTGAGTGAATTTAAGGGCAGCAAAGGTTGGTTTGAGAGATTTAAGAAGCGTAGTGGCATACATAGTGTGATAAGGCATGGTGAGGCTGCCAGTTCGGGCCACAAAGCAGCTGAAAATATGTGCAGGAATTCAAGGAGTACATAGACAGTGAAGAACTGAAACCTGAACAAGTGTTTAATTGTGATGAAACAGGCCTGTTTTGGAAGAAAATGCCCAAACAGGACCTACATTACTAAGGAGGAAAAGGCACTCCCAGGACATAAGCCTATGAAAGACAGGCTTACTTTGTTGATGTGTTCCAATGCTAGTGGTGATTGCAAAGTTAAGCTTTATTAGTGTATCACTCTGAAACTCCCAGACCGTTCAGGC